GTAAACAATCCCAAGTGCGTTTTAAGTATCAACAATTCTGCCGCAAAGTCATCTACGACTAGCTGCTGGTAGGCCTGCTGCAGGTCCAATTTCGTAAACAATTTCGCGCCCGCGATTTCCGCCTTTACCTCAGAAAAAAGTGGTAATGGATATGTATTAGGCTTAATCACGGCGTTTACAGTACTGCGATAGTCCCCACAAATCCTCATAGTACCATCTTTTTTAATGACTGGTACAATTGGCGTTGCCCAGTGTGAAAAAAGCGTTGGCTCCAACACTTTCTGCGCCACTAACTTTTCAATTTCTCTTTCTACGGCTGGTTTCCAAGCGATAGGACACGGCCTGTATTTACGAAAAATCGGCTGAGCTCCTTGTACGATTTCTAATGATATGGCAGGGCCATTATGCGCGCCCAAATGTTCGTTGAACACCGAGTTATATTTCTTCTCTAACATGGTGAGATCCGTTGGAACATCTACTGTCAATACTCCGTGCACCGTAATCCCTAACGCGTCAAACCAGTCTCTGCCCAGCAAAAACCTGCCGCCACCTGCAATGACCAAAACGGATAATACGTACTTTTGCCTATTGTATTCGACATTCACCCGAGCTGATCCCAAAACATTGAGTTTTTCTTCCGACCACGTTTGCAGCATGATATTGGACGGCCTGAGGTCGCGATTACCCAGGTTAATGCGGTTCCATGTTATCTCCGAGATAACCGTAAACGCCGCACCGGAGTCTACTTCAAATGATTCTAACACACCGTTGAGGTACATCCCCGTTAGAATCTTTTTTGTGGACGTGGCTTGAACTGTATTGAGTTCATAAAAGTAATTATTTTCTTCTGCCGCTGGCCCTGTGTCCTCCGCCTCTCCATCTAATGCGTGGACTGCAAGTTTCTTGCGGTCATGTGCTCTCTTTTTGAAACACGCTTTCATAGAGTGTCCTTTTATCTGACAAAATTCGCATTTCTTATCTTTAAAATGACACTTGTTTGCAAAATGGCTGCCCTCACAACGGAAACACTGCAACTTTTCTACTTTCCTGGGTTTATTCTTCATTGACACCGCCAAAACGTCATTACCATTGCCGCGCACGTCCCTTACATTGCGGTAAGCCGCTTCATGGGCGATTGCTATCTCGTACGCACGTTTAAAGTCTAATCTTGTTTCGCTAAAAAGACGTTTTTGCAGCGCTTCTTCTGCCACTCCGCATACAATTTGATCCCGCAACATATTATCCAGTTCCATGAAGCCACAATGTTCCGACAGTTTACGCAAGTCTTTTACGAAATCAGCTATTGTCTCCCCACTATTCTGGTGCCGCTTATGGAACGCAAACCGCTGCACAATCTCGAGTTTTTCAACGATTTCATGAAGCGATACGTCTTTTGGAGTCAACGGCGTCAATAGGGAACGGATTATTTCGTAAGGTGCTTCCCCGACGCATGATAAGAAAATCGCCCTCATCGACGTTTCGTTAGCTATTCCATTGGCTTCGAAGTAAAACTCCATTCGTTCTTTATAGTTATTCCACGCCATGGTTGGTTGGAACGGTTCCAGCTTGCCGAAAGATTGTGCGCCCATCAGGTTTACGTCATTCAACGCCATCTTTTACCCTCGTCGCCAAAATATTACGTTTTCGACTGAAGAGTAAATATAATAAAACACGAGAAATATGCAGTGTGAGACTTGCGCTCTTTATTCTTTTGTCTCCTAGTCTCGTCTGATGCACGTGCGCATCTGTCAACGTCATATCCTGTTTTCTTTTAGGGTTGCTTCAGATATTGTCATTACAGGGTGCCTCGTCGTATACTACAGACTTCAAATTACAAAAGAAGGGCGATGTTGGGGGACAGTTTTAACGTAGCATCTCCACAGGCAAAAATATGGGGTACAATTTGTCATTTTGTTTTCCAGATATATGCTTTATCAGTGCACTTGCACAATATTCGCATTCGCAAAAGTCCGCATTGATTATTGCGAATCCGGAAGCGAATGCGAATGTTAAAATTAATGCGGCAGCTCCGCGGTTGCGAACGCGAATGCGAATATTCGCAACAACCCTGCTATGTATACAATATTTTATGCTATATAGTACGGTAGTAATTTTTTATTCAAGGTTTGTTGCTATAAGCAAGTAGCGCAGGCAAGTCGCACTGCGCTTGTGCAAGAAATAAAAACGCTCTAACTTAGGTCAACGGTACTCTTCATAATAAGTAAATAAATTCAAATCTTGTATGAGATTTATTGTGGTATTCTCTNTTTTATGCTATATAGTACGGTAGTAATTTTTTATTCAAGGTTTGTTGCTATAAGCAAGTAGCGCAGGCAAGTCGCACTGCGCTTGTGCAAGAAATAAAAACGCTCTAACTTAGGTCAACGGTACTCTTCATAATAAGTAAATAAATTCAAATCTTGTATGAGATTTATTGTGGTATTCTCTCAGAACACAAATGCGATCATGAAGAAAATCGCATGAAAGTATGCGCTTTGTGTGGGAATAAAATTATTTTTCAAAATAAAACTTCCCAATATTTTCTGTTAACTGGAAAAAATATTAAAGTAATACAGGATCATATTAATGATCAGTTCGATATTTCTAATAAAAAGTTCCCAAAAAGTATATGTAGCACATGTCGATTAACTGTTAATGAATATGGAAAATAAGTTTTCCAAAGACCTTGTTTGGAAAAAGAAATAAGAACTATGATTTGCAACAGTTACGTTTGCCTAACAGCGCGACTTACTAGACATTCGAAAAAAACAAGGGTAGAGGTCATATTCGAGAACTCTTCACCAAAATTTATTTAACTAATGGTCTTGATGGTCCTGTGCAAAATACGTCGCTTTCTAAAAATGAAGAAATTGCAAACAAACCATGAATTTCTTTTGAAATCAGTAGCAGGTGCTTTCAAGGAATAGGCAAAGCTATTCCACATTTTTGCGGAGGCCCTTCTTCCTCTAATGTACGTGATAAAGTTTTCAATATAGTAGAACAATTACCTGAGAAACAACAGAACCAAATAGTAACTACCCTTTTGAAAAGAAAACTGACGAGCAGTAAAGAAGGAGAAAATGAGTTTCTTTTGAATACACTGGGTTCTAAGGCAAGCATAACATTAAGTAAGAAAAAAAAGGAAATTTCTCTGCTCAAAGTTTAGATAACTTCGAAGCTAATACTGCATAATCTACAAATTATATGAAAAAATTAGCAAACTTCATTCGTAGTACAGCTGGAAAAAAGTCAGTCCCTACAAATTATAACCAACATATGTATGAAAACGCAAAGGTGATGGAAGACTTTTATAAAGAAGGTCTCTTTGAATTTGAAACGGCCAAGGAAGGAATTAAAAAAGACCAGTCATGTATGCCAATGCGACAGAACTTTTTGACTTTGTCTTTGAGAAAGGGAGCATTGAGTATATAGAAGAAACCAAAATAAAACTATTTAATGGCAGATGGAGGCCAAGATTTCTTTAAAATTTCCATCTCAATTTCAACGACGACGAATTTCAAGACGAGGAAGAAGCAAATGATTCCGATAAATGTAAGAGTAAGAACCTTTCATATTACTCCTCTGGTGGAAGTATTTCATCGCAACGTAAACTCACTAGTGTCTACAAATTAATTGTATTATAGGGGTATTCTCTGAGTCTTGCAAAGCCCTTGCATGGTGCACAGATTGCACGGATTGCACGGTTAAAACCGGTTTTCGTATGGGACAGCTTTGCAAACCGTGCACCGTGCAAGGGCTTTGCAAGACTCAGAGAATACCCCTTATGTGTTACGTCGCTTAGGGGTAAGGTTGGTTGGCATTCAGGCACGCTGGCATCCCGAGCTAGCTCGTCGGTTGGGGGGGGGCGGGCACCTCCAACCACCTTACTTGCAGCTGACATAAACAAAATTTGTCATCATGGCTGTTAGAGAAAAGACACTGAAAAACCGGGAGAATAGAAATATAAAGGAGATAGAAGAGGCCCGTCCGAGTCAGGGAGAGTCAGCCCACCCCATCTACGTTCTTGTAGCCTTGGACTTTGCCGTGACTCCTACAATTGGCAAAGTCCCCTAAACCTGACCTTAGTTCGTACGTCTATTGACAAGTCATGTCCAAGTCAGTAACGTCAAACAGTGTCGACACCCATTACCCCCCTGTTGCACCAGTGTAACATCCACACCAATATAAAAAAATCAGCAAACCATGATTTTTCGTTGAATCCTAATCACATTATTCATATATTTCCTTAGTAAGGATTTAATATACAGAGCTTATTATAAAAACGTTGTACTCAACTATGCTCAGTGTTTATATACTACTACAAATGACGAAAATTCAAGCTATCCAAAAAAACTCATTAATTCACTTATATCTATATACCTACGTATTTATACCTAGTATTTATGGAGTTTGGCGTGTTTGCGGTGAATAATGAAACTCGGGATATAGAAAAATTTCAAAGATACAAAACGAAATGGACATTGAAAGAAAAAGTGTAAGAATATGTACATGTGTACACGAGTACATATGTAAATATACTATATATATTTCAATTTCTCTATTTACTATGCCCGCACTGTATGTAATATTGCAACTCTTGCTCTCATGTGTTTAACATATATGCCGGTACCGAACCATGGGTGCATTTAACTATGTATGTAGGTATATAACTTAGGTATTACCACTTACCGATCTCGCATGTGATGTAGGCGCCTGCATACAGGAGATGGAGAGGCTGGAATCAAAAAGTTATGGAAATGCAAAGAAACAAAAAAACTAGCAAGAATTTGGCTGCATACTAGAATGGGAGCATTCATAGGTGGGTAAATGTCATGATTGTGCTGTAGCGTTCTTTCATTCCAGGACGGTCACTAGCATACATCACTACGCCATTTACCCTTATTAATAAAAAAAAACGTGCGAAAATAATTAAATTGGAATACGCGGCAACTAAATTTCATACCTCACTTGCATATTCGCCAAATACGAACCTACAAAACAACCAACGAGGTGAAATCGCAACAAAATTTAAAACTAATTTGTGAGATTAAACGTTCTAATATTTGCAAAAAAATAAAAAAAAAACAAGTAAGAGCAGCGCTGTCTTCGGCTATGCCGAAGGCTTCATACCTTTCATGAACATCTGCAAATTTTACTTTGACAGATTACTGCTTTTGAATACATCTGCATACATCGATAGAGGAGTTACATACTTATATAAAAAATCGCATCTAAACAATCAGAGGTATGGAAGATATACTTTATATGGCACCAATCTAAGTGATTTTCACTGCTATGTGATCGGTATGTAAACCGGTAACACAATTTATTGGGTTTAGTTTCCTACATAAAGGAGATATATGGCAAAAACTGGTATCTGAACAATCAGTGCTATAGGAGATAAAGCTTATACAGCATAGATTTTGACGATTTTCTCAGTAGACTTTGTATTATTATTTATAAAATATCTTACGAAATTTATCGGTTTTAGCTGTTCAAATAAAGGAGTTTTACAGTAAAATCCCATATCTGAACAATCAGATGTATGGAAGATATATGTTGTAGTCACCCGATCCTTGTTATTTTCACTGTAAGTATTCTGTTAATAATGAGTGAAAATGGTGCGAAATTTCATGTTCCTAGCTGCATAAATGGAGGAGATATGATAAAAGACCTCATATCTGAACAATCAGTTGTATGGGGGCTGCAGGTTATAGTGACCCGATCTTTGTTATTTTCGCTGTAAGTCTTCTGTTGATAATGAGTGAAAACAGCGCGAAATTTCATGGTCCTAGCTACATAAATGGATGAATTATAACGAAAAATCTCATATCTGAACAATCAGTTGTATGGGAGCTATAGGTTATAGTTACCCGATCTTTTTAATTTTCACTGTAAGTTTTCTGTTGATAATTATTGAAAACAGTGCGGAATTTCATGTTCCTAGCTATATAAATGGAGGAGTTATAACGCAAAATTTTATATCTGAACAATCAGTTGTATGGGAGCTATAGGTTATAGTGACCCGATCTTTTTAATTTTCACTGTAAGTATTCTGTTGATAATGGGTGCAAGTATTGCAAAATTTCATGTTCGTAGCTGCATAAATGGAGAAGTTATAATGAAAAATCTCATATCTGAACAATCAGTTGTATGGGAGCTATATGTTATAGTGGTCCGATTCTTCCGGTTCCGACAAATGATTAATACATTATAAAAATACACCCACCTACCAAATTTGATCCGGATATCTCGAAAACTGAGAGACTAGATTGCATACAAACAGACAGACAGACGGACAGACGGACATGGCTAAATCAACTCAGCTCGACGTTCTGATCATATAAGTATACATTTTAATGGGTCTATCTCTTTTTGTTCTGGTACTTACAAACATCGGACCAAAGTTATAATACCATTTCATGCTCATGAAAGGTATAATTAGCACAATGATTACTACCACCTAATTGCTGTGGCCTTGGGAAAAATGGAAACCGGCCCTATTTTAGTGGTGCCCAAGAGCGGGGTTTCCATACAAATTTTGACAGTTCATTTATAAGGTTTACACAATTATAAGTTTATACGGTTTACAATGCATTTATAAGGTTTGATG